TCTCTGTAGACAAAACCTTATTACAGAGTTTGTAATATGCATCACTGCTGACCCACAGTTGACAGAAAACTAGTGTGATAGTTTTCCTTATTACCATATTGAATTTTTACTTTTGAGTGCTTTTTAGAAATAGGCTTTTTATTTTGTTTTACCATACTTTTTAGTAGAAACTATTTATTGCTTTTTCCAGATAAACAGTGCAGTTACAGATCACACATCTGGTTTTTTATGTACTTATGTGTCCATCTGGACACTGTGACCCTACTGACTTACAAGCCCAACATTTACTTATCATATAGGAAGAGGCTTGTCCTATACAGGACATTTTCAGAGACATTTCCTGTTATTTTTATCTTATATAATACAAGTATCTGCTGTTCAAGGGCCTCTCATGAGAGATTGTATTTGCCATTTATGAGATACTGGATTCCCACCAGCAATCTGTGAAACAGACTCAAAAAGGCTGTGTGCTTTAAGTTGTATCTGATTATTGTTAGTATCCTGTGTCACGTAGGACAACATCCCACATCTTTCTGTTCCTCCAATTGCTTCTGCAGAAAATACAGTTCTGAAGAAATAATGCTTTACTAATTAGTTCTGTGGTTTGACATCTGAGGCCTTATATCCTCAGGGAATGGAGGAGAAATTCCTTTCCTACTATTAAAATCAATGTAATAGCATGATGACATTCTTCTGTACAGAGTTGGTTGAAAAGATGGTTGAACAAAGTGATAATTTCCATTTCTAGTTCCAAAAATTTCAAATACATTGATGCTGTCACTTCATTAATTACATGACAGCATACCTCCCATTGTAGTAAGGCAGTTTGAAGTCTTTCTAAATGATTAAAAAAGGCAAAAAGCCTCTAACTGTGATTACAACTCACCTATCTGAGTTTTGCAGAAGATCAGTCTCAGCACCTTCTGGAAGCAAAAGCACTGAATCTAGAAGGGAGATCAGGTGATGCCCTGTAAACCAAATGTTGTCACATCCCTTCTGAAAAAAATGATACAAGAAGTTTAGCTGAGTGAAAAACTTAAAGATATCTTAAATAAATCTTAAAAAATTTAACAATAATTTTGGAAAAAAAACCCCAAAACAGTAGAAGTAGTATTTTCTAACTACTACATGTGATTGAAATATACAAACTAGTCCTTTCATAATTGTCCCCACATTGTCTCTTCATGTCAAGCTGTTTTTTTCAGTTCCAACAGAATAGATTCTCCACTCATTCACCATAGCACCATCTATAAAGTCAATATTTGTTTACATAAACCTCACAAATTGTACTAGACACTTCTTTTTTATGCTGAGGTATGGAAAAATTACTGTATTTACCAGAGACTCAATATTAGTGTCAGAATTTTTTTTCAAAGATGATCAGGTTTTTTAAGATTTCTTTGTGTATTTCTAAACCCACAACTCCTAGCAAGTGAAGTACACCTTCAGCTCTGTGTTTTTTGGATAAAGACATTCAGTTACTTCCTTTTGACAGAGAGATGGGGCAGAGGACAGAAGAGAGAATCATTTAAGCAGAAGATGAAGATAACTAGGTTTTGAAGTAGCTGAACATAATTACTCTGATGCCCTCTTCATCACAGACAGATGACTCACTATTTTTGCAAAATTTCCCCTAAATTACAACAAATTGGGAAGGACAAAACAAATAAACCTCCCTATCTCTCACACTTGCTTAGCAGAAGTTTTTTTAGAGCTCTGCAGTTAAGACTCCTGAAAATTGCCTCCTCAGTGAGGATGGCTGGGCCTCCCTGTACTGGTGCTAACTTCAGGGTGTGCTCATCATTCCCAAAGAGAAAGTGAGCACAATTCTTTCTGCAAGCTTCATGGCCTCCTCAAAAGGTAATTTCATGTCAGTAAAATGACGCTGAGAGTGTGGAGTTACTGCAAAGATCCATGTTGGCAAAGTCCTTATCCCAGGTAAAGGTGGGGAGGGCTGGGCTAAGAGATACAGACCCAGGGGAAAGCTAGGCAAGTGAGGAAACTCTGACAAGGCCAGAAATAGATTGGAAGGAAAACTGAGATTAGATGGGGAGAGGAGAAGGGTAACCTTCCGTTAAATCAGATCAGGTGAGGGACCTGGAAAGACTAAGACTAGCCTAAGATTAAATAAACAGATAGCAGTAAGAAATTGTTATCATGATGTCTGCAGCAGAATTATTTGCTAGAAACCCCAAATACTCAAATTCTTTTAATAAAACTTTGTAACTAATTATCTTTTTGAGAATCAGGGAACTCGACATGGAAGAAATGTATTAAGATAATTCTGAAGCTGCATAGTCAATACATTCATTAGTAAGGAAATTTCAGACTGTACTTTTATATATTAAATTTCACTGAAAGTCCCTTTCAGAACAGTTTTCATACTAACATCTTCTTCACCCCTGCTGATTCAATATAGGACAGACTATGATCTAATAAATAGTAATTCACAGTTTTCTAACAGAATTATGCTATCATAAAATATGCATAAATTTAATATATTGTCCTATTTGACAAAAGACAGTATCCTTGAGAATAAATTTGGTTTGGAAAAGGCCCTAGGCTGTTAAACAAAAAATTTATTAATTTCTTTGCAATTCATTTTTCCAACGTCCTGGTATAAATAGCTACAAAATATGATCTTTAAATGGTTTTTATCTAGCTCAACCCTTCCTGATGAATTTAACATTTGTGAAGCACTTATACTATAATGCTGACTGTCATCATAAAACCTAAGAAAAAACTAAAAATTCTCTCTGGACTGTAGCATTTTAATTATAAGGAATTGTGAGGATAAAACCAAATATTAAGTAGTTCCTCTTCAAGAAAGAAACATGTATTTTCAAGCATAGAAAAGGCTATAGTAAGCTATTAGAAAAATACAGTCTCATGTTTTGTACATTGACTGTGCAATTTAAAAATACATTTCTAAAATTAGAATGTAAAAATACATATGAAACCAAACTAATCTTTTAATTAATGTCCCAATCTTGTGTTTATTTTCAAAATATTTTTTTTAATGCATCACTCAAAGCTTAAGCTGTACACATTTTCTCAATATAATACTGATAGAATATTAAGATGACAGATTGTGTTTTAGTGGTAATAGTCTCACCGTTAGTGATAAGTGAATCTGATCTTTTATATTTTTAATAATGTATCCTTCCACACCAGCATGGTTGCTTGTCTTCAGTAAACACCTTCAAACAAAATAAAAAAAAAACACAAAACAAATTATCTCCTTAAAGCTTCCTATATAGCTAACTCAAAACTTAAATGACATTATGGCCCTATTCACCAAGTAGAAGTTTTACCACAGAAAAATGACTATGGAACCTTTAAACACCAATGGAAGTAAGACAACTGATTTTATGTGAGGCAATTGGAATTCCTTGCTTATCCAGAAATTAACATGTAAAATTAACGTGGTTTACCAGATAGAAGCTCTGTCAGAAATTATTGTATCTATGCAATTAACCTGCAATAAGGCTGACGGGACACAATCTATGGTAAATCGGATTCATACCTGAATAATGTATATTTTCCCTCTGGATTAAACTTGTCTATGAACAACTGCAAAATATTTAAACTCTTCTTTCTCTAAAGGAAAAAAAAAAAAATGTTATCAGATTAATTCTAATTAAATATATTCAGCATTCAGCTGATTCTATAGGTTCCTTTACATACCAGATGCTCTATGGGACAAAGGGTCATAACTTTCACCAAATCCTGCAGTTGGACAAAGAAAACAGAATTTCCAATTAGATGCAGATTATTACATCACACTGACTAAATTTTACTCAAGACATGAAGGAAAAAACAAATCAAAACAAAACAAAAGTAAAAACCTTGAGCTCACAAAAACATGCCTATGAGAAGGTTCTCATCAAAGCAATTCACTTCAGCTTCAGTGACTGAAATCCCAGGACTCATACACACGATCACTGTTCTTGTACTGTTGGGTCCAATAAGAAAGTAGCCAAGCAGCAGATTTGCAAGGAAGAGGCAAAAATGAGCAAGCATCATCTTTCAGCCAAGATTAGTGCTGACCTGCCTCAGTGGCCTGTATATACACTAAGTGTATTTTGTCACTGAAACTTCATGATGTAACAGGTAGAAAAGACAATCAGTTATGTCTAGTAAGACACTGAAGGTTTCACTTTAACAACACAAGGGTATGAAGGTTCAACAATATGTCCTATCTCAAATACCTAGAAGACACTGATTTTATTTATAATCAAACCTTAAAGACTTTTGTACATTACTTCTTATTACCTGAGGTACGTTAATGAAATCTCTGAATTCCAAATACTGATGGAGAAGGCTGTTATCTTCCATTCTCAACAAGCAGCTCTCAAACAAATCCTGCAATGGGGAAAAAAAAAAGGCTGCCATAATTTTGTACATATATAAGACATTAATCTGTATACTATGCTAAAAGTGCCTTCACTATAACTGTACATTTATATATCCAAAATTCCTAGGACCTACAGATAAAAGTGATAATGGTAATTTAAACATTTATCCATGTGTGTCAAGTTCAGTAACTGTAACTGTTTGTAAGACTGAAGAATGCTAATTAAGCCTCAAAATATTTCTGAAACTATTATCTAAACTATCATTTGTGCTTTTCTTAGAAAGAGTAACCAAAGTTTTATCATGATTTAAACGAGAAAAAACAAACATTCTAAGATTGAAAATCTGATTAAAAGAAAACTTACAAGTCCTTTAGATAACATAGATTCTTCTGTTCTAGAAAATAAAAGAAACATTATCAAATTTAAGTTGTTAATTAAAAAGACACTTGGTATTTCAAAAGAAATACTAGAATGGAGGTCAAGAAGAACCTGTCCCTTAATAATGTTCATTCTATTTTCTATATATAGTATCTTCATAATTCCTCTCAATTAGACTCTTCAGGGCCAGTTTTTTTTCCCCCCCTGCCATATTTATATACATTCAAAAGCAGCTTCTCATATCTCACAGGTATCAAGACATTGATTAACAAAGAAAACGGAACATCATAGATGATTCTATTTCCGTAACTCTGCAAGTCTAAGAAAAACACAACAGATACTAAACTGAAGAGAACAGGAAGTTACTATAAAAGATCACATCCACCATCTAGAACTCCAAATGCCACAAATCCTACCTTTTCAACAGCACTTCAATATGCATCATATTGCATTGCAGAAGGTATGATGGACTAAAATGAGAAAAAATAGGTTTACATTAAACTGCATAAGCCACATACATTTGCACATAAGACAAATTGCTGTTAATAACTCCTATGTAGAATCTGTCTATCAATATGCAGTTGAAAATTTAATATATGTTCATTTTCAGCATGTGACTAATCCTACCAGTTTCTTTAAAAGGACAGAGGATCTAAAAGTAAACTGTAATAGAGTAATCTGCAAGACTGGAGTTATGTTCTTATGTATATAAACTGCATAAACTATAAATGCATAAAGTTGACATAACCAAATACTAGTGAAATACAAAGTTTTCATTCATAACTATTCACAAATAAAAGGTTTTATTCTGCTCAGAAAGAATATTCAAAGTACAGACTTAGAATTAAGTGAGGAATAATAGCTCTTACCTAAATACCACAGGAAAGTGATCAATACCAAAATGCTGAACAAACATCAGATATGACAGACATGCCAAAGAATCTGCAGAATTCTCTCTCTCTATGTCTGCAAACTCCTGATTCTCCCAGTTTAGACTTTTGCCTTTACGATGTAAAGACATTAATGGTATAAATTCTCTTATTGCCCACAAAATGTCCTAAAAAAGAAAGACAGATTGTCTGTAGTTGCCTTTAAAAGACCTGTATACCAACTAAGTTAAAAGTTTTAACAGTATTTACACCACATTCTCTTACATAGCATATGTATATATAAAATAAATATTTTGTGAGTACATATAATATGCACATACACAAATAAGGCCCTGCAGGAAAAATGACTACTGTTAGAAAAATGTTACTAAGATAGAAAAGCCAAGCACTCAAAAGTTAGCAAAAGAGAAAATGAAGTCACCCTGCCAAACTCTAGCTTGTCTGCCTTATGCACAATGCTATGAATAGTGATACCTTCATGATTACATTATGCTACAGGACCTCTGTGATTTTCAAATTACAGAATACTCAGTAATTTATTTTCTGCTCACTTATCAATATGTAACACAATCTTGACTTACTACAATTTCGTTTGCAAAATGCCGAAAGGGATGTTCTTCAACGTCTTCAAGTTGCTCAAGCTGAGCTGTCAATAATGGGTATTTCAGGCTTTTCATACAGCTGAAACAAAAATGGGTAAAACTATCACCAACAAGGTCACAAATATAGACTATAACAGTGTCACTGGTGACCAAGAATAAAGTCTATACTCATACTGGCTGCTCCTATTCCTGATATTCCAGGAGAATTAAAAAAACACAACATCTCCTGTAGAAGCATTCCTTAGACTTCACTTTCAGATTATGGCTATCCTTACTGTTGTAAATTTGAAAAGCAGAAGAATACCAAAACAGTTTCACAGCACAGAGACTAATATTTCTTCACCATTTTCCTGTATTAAAAAAAAAAAAAAATATTTTTACCTTCTCTCACTTCGTAAATATGTAAGGCATATTTAGGTTTTTCTTCTTTGAAACACCACATTATTTAATAGCAGTTGGCAGTGTTATAAAACACTAGTAAGATTATTTATTGCCTATGTAATAAATGCCTACCGTTCATTTTGTTAAGTTATAGGAATATGTTACACTAACATAAAATGCTCACAATTTCAGTAATTCTTCTTTCAGCTCCATTTCATTGTCTTCCGACGACTTTTCCATGTTTTTAACAACTTCATTCACAAAAGGTTTAGTGAAGTCCACCATTGCATTACAACATTGACAGAGACCAAGTTTATCTTCTTGTATTTGTTGTTTTGTATAAGGTACAGGTAAGGGGGTAAGCTGATTCATAATCATGGCCAAAGAGATACCCACTGAGTAGGCCTTCTTGTTCTGAAGTTTCAAAAGCACTAGGGGAAATGAGAGGAAAAAAAAGACAACAAAACACTTTGAGACATTAAGTTATTACTTACTTGGTAGAGGAAAACGTGAAGAATAACAATGTAACTGCATAATAAAGCCTCCGGTTTCAGGGATGGAGAGGGACTCATACCTGAAATCACATGAGCAAATCCAGCAAGACCAGCATCACTAGCTAGTTTAACATGCTGTAGTTAAGATGACCATGTATTTGAGAATGACAAATATTAAAGCTGTCATGCAATTCAACACATTCTTCCCTTCCTAGGAGACTGAAAAAAGTCTGTCTTTCTAGAACTAGTCTAAGTTAATTAATCTGATGTGGAAAACTGATTTATTGCTTGATTGCTTGGTTCCTTCTGTGCTTAGCAAATCCACAGACAATGGCCCAGACTTTCTGCTGAGATCTGATTCTACCTGAAACAACTCAGAACTGTTCTATAGCCCACAGCAGAAACAAGAGAGGGGCTCCCAGACTGATGAAGTACCAGTGGCTCTTCACTTAAACTGCATGTAGTGCAGGCTGACTGCAGACTGGCTACTTAAAAACCCCACATACTTCTAATGACAAAAATCCTGGTCTCATTAAATTATAATATGATCCATGAACACATCTCAGACATTGCTACAATCAGACTTAAACTTGATATAAGACTGTTGATTTCATCTCAATATCAAGAGAAATTACTACTTGTTACCTACTTAGTAGGGTGTCCCTAACTAACATTTTTAGTTTTTATATGTAAGCCAGAAGAATGCTTCCCCCTCCACCAATCAAATATTTCAACCTGCTTCAATCTGAAATAAGTTTTATACTACAAAAATATTGGTTTGTATTTTTTAAAAGTTCAATAATGAAGAATTTCACAAATGCGTGTAACTATTTCTGTAACAACAGTATGAATGGTTTACACTTCTAAATGCAACTGTCACAGAAGCACATTCTTATAAGTGATGAAAAAGAGCTGAATATTTCTTTTTCAGCTGATCCTATTAATACCATCTAAAATCCTTTTCTACAAAGGCCAGTATAAACACAAAAACATAACTTGTGTTATTTTGCAGAATATTATAGACTGTAAAGCCTGTCAGGACAGACGTATTTTGAAACTATTGAAGCAAAGGCTAAGTTATTAGATAAATAAATGAGAAAATTATTTAATTCATAAATCAAAAGTAAGTGCATCTTACCTGTCTGCAAAGGCTGAAGCAGTAACATGACAGTTTGGCACACTTGCTCTTGAGAGGTCTGCTCAATCTCCTCAAGTAAACCCAAAAAAAGTTCCTTTGGATAGCACAGCTGCAGCAGAGAAACAATGAAATTTTAAATCACCACAGTCATAAGCTAAAAATTCATCACAAGAAAGCTTCAATACAGAAGCTCCTAAACATCAAGAAAGCAGATCTGAACACCCAAGATACTCTTTTAAGAAAACAAATATGAAACAATAATTATTTCCCTAGAATTGATGCCTTCTGTAGAGTATATATCTGCACATACAATTTCATTCATAAGCTGAAAAGATACAAATAATGACATTAAACTTGATTTCTATCATCTATAGAAACCTCACAGTACCTTAGCAAAGTAATCCTTAGGAGAGAAAAAAACACTTCAGTGTGAATTTAACTTCACCTGTAGAGTTTGCAAGTTGTTTTTTAAGTATATGAATGAAAATAAACAAGTTTTCTAGAGATTAATATTTTACCCTACTAATCCATCAGAATCATCAGGTACTCATTGTCATACTGTATCTGCAGTAGATGAGAGACAGTATTGCTGTGGCAACTCTGACTGCAGCAGCAGGCAAGCAAATCTTTATCAGTTCTAACTGCCTTTTTTTTCTGTTTTCTAATGCTATGTCTCTTCATTTGCCCAGATACTAATTTCACAAGACATTTAACCTTTGTCTACTTCAGATGAAACTGGCCCAAGTTTGAAAGTCACAGGAAATGGACAGAAGAACCCAGAAGTATTTATGTCTTGTTTTCTTTGGAAATGAGAGGGAAAATTAGGACCTCTCCCTTCCCTACAATTATTTTATTACAACCATATATTTCAAAAACATACCTGTGCTAACTGATCTAATATCTTCAGACAGTGTTCCCGCTTTTCATCTTCCTGTTTATACATGAAAATACATCTAACAAGAGGAGACAGGAGGTTCCAACCCATATTCTTGATGATAACCTAAAATACAGATTTTCAGAGAATTAACCAAAGCTGGATATCATCTTAACTTAGACAGATTTTACATATGAAGGCCAAAAAAGACAACAGATCAATGTCCTTGTTGTAATCAAAACCATAATAAAGTCATTGAAAAATTAAAATCTATTGCATTCTCTCCCCATAACTATAAACACAGTTGCATATATTGTAGTTGTCTTCACTGTATTAGTTCTAACATGTCAACAGATACTTCTAAGAATTTATATGACAATACATGTAAAATAAGACTGAGTAGAGACATTTCTCTAAGCATTCTTTCTTTCATCAAAATTATGTTTAACCTGAGAGGATCAAGATCTTCAGCTGTTACTCTAAATTAACAACATTCAAAACCAGACTGTGACCCCCATGTAAAATTGCCAGAACATTCCATCCTACACTTTCTTTCTGAACTTGCTACTCATCTTTGAACAACTTAGTATATTCTTCCAGCTCCCCAGAGTACCTACTGACATTAGCATCTCTTACATCAGCATCAACTGAGCTGGCTCTTGCAGTTTGGGCCAGTATTATTATATCCATCTGTGGGGGGTTAACCCCAGACAGAAACTTACACACTCACCAGCTGGTTGCTCTCTCTCCTCCCACAGTGGTGTGGAGGAGAGCATCAGAAAAGCAAAACAGACAGTAACTCACGGGTTGAGATAAGGACAGTGAAAGTAGCTTTCCCTTTTTAATAAGCAGTTTTTTCTATTTAACAGTGTGTTAGTGCACAACTAATGCATAGTAAAAACTTCAACTCACCTTATTTTTATCATTTTGAATCACTTCTAATAACTCAGCTGCATACCCATCTTCTAAACATTTCTGACCTGCTACCTGAAACAGATTAAAATCTTCTCCTTTGAAATCAGCTTCTTCTAGAATTTGCTAAAAAGAAAATACACGTTTAACTCCATACTTATAAAAGGCAATTAAAAGTAAGAAAAAAAACAACTTTAATTTAAAAACTAAGTGCAGCATAACTGTAATTTGCCTTTTCTTATATTTTCTTTTCTTACCTTTCACAGATTAAAAACGCTACCAAGAGCTGCTACAGAAGGCAAGAAAGTCTCTCAACTTCCTAAGTCTAGACTACAGCATGTGGTTTGGGAGACGTACTTTCTACAACAACCTGCTAGGGTTTATTACTTCAGACAAGTACTGCTGAGTACAAGAGCACTTCTTTCTCCAAGAAGCAGAAGGTATCAAGCATCTCGGGATAGCCACCACAGAAAAGCCAATGAAACTGGAGTTCAGGAGGCTGAACTTAGCTGCCCACTGAGCAGTTCTGCTAACAACTGTTATTGTGTTTTGGGCTCATTTTGGTTTCAATTATAATATGCTAATAGAAATGCATACTTCTTACTTTTACGGAGAGAAAACTACTTACGCATCTTTGTATTATGGCTTGAAGTTCATCAACTGCCATTATAGTTTGACTTTGTTCTTCTGGCATTAAAAACTATTATAAATTAAAGAGTACAGCATTAAAACACATGAAGTAAAAAAAGAGACTGAAAAATAATATTATCCAAAAAAATGCCAATAGAGGAATGAGAACAACCTAAACTGACAGGTATTAAGAAAACCACATGAGGAAAATACATTTTTAAGAAGTGTACACTATATTATTCTACTCCCCATATTTGCAGGAGACAGTATGACAAACAGGAAAGAACCTGCATCCTATGTAAAGGGAAGCAATTTTTTGAATGGTATCAGAGTCATCTTAATAATTTAGAAAGCCTCAGCTACTACCTGGGCACATACTTGGGGAGCTGCAGGTAACAGAGAGCAAGCCTAGGCTCACTGCATACCCAGCACAGATGCCCACACCACACTACATTGTCTGTGACTCTTCTTACCAGAGCAGAACCTGCTCAGCTGTGACTGGAACACTCCAACTAGATATCTGGGATGTGCATGGCAGATACAGCCACCATGCCAGTTTATATCAACAGTTCAGTCAAGATTACACATGCAATACCATTTATTTCTTTCTAGTGTCTAGGTTGGACCAGGTCAGTGGCCTTTACCTCTAGATACTATAATTTAAAACTTTTAACCAAGTTAAACATCTGAGTAATGGTAAGTATTTACAAAGTTTTACATAGTCAGGACCATGATTTACAAATAAAATCAAGCTTGGTTATCCATGTGATATATCGTAGCAGCACTCATAATATTTATGGTTTTAACTAATTCCATGTGCCTAAACCTGCTTATATGATCACTACAAGTGTCAATTACCTCTACATCTGGATAATTAGTTGACTGTTCAGCAAAACACCCAAGCTCCATATCTATACAGGCATCTCATGGAATCATGGAATCATCCTGGTTAGAAGGGATCTTAAAGAACATGAAGTCCTACCATAACCTAATTCACGTGTTCAGTGCTTAAACCATGTGGCTAAGCACTATATCTATATTTCTTTTAAATATTTCCAGGGATGGTAACTCCACCACCTCCCTGAGCAGCCTATTCCACTGTCCAACCAGTCTTTCAGTAAAGCAATTTTTTCTAATATCCAGTCTAAACCTCCCCTGGCGCAGCTTCAGGCCATTTCCTCTCATCCTGTCATTATTCACTTGGGAGAAGAGGTCAACTCCCACCTCCCTACAACCTTTCAGGTAGCTGTAGAGAGCAATGAGGTCACCCCTCAGCCTTCTCTTCTTCAAACTAAACAATCCCAGTTCCCCCAGCCTCTCCTCATAGGACTTAATTCTCCAGACCTTTCACCAGCTTGGCAGTTCTTCTCTGGACAAGCTCTAGCAGCTCTACATCCTTCCTGTAGTGAGGGGCCCAGAACTGCACACAGCACTCAAGGTGTGGCCTCACCAGTGCTGAGTACAGGGGCACGGCCACCTCTCTACTCCTTCTGGCCACACTATTCCTGATGCAGGCCAGGACCTGGGCCTGTTAAGTCAGCAGTCAACCAGTATCCCCAGGTTCTTCTCTACCATGGAGCTTTCCAAACACACATCCCCCCAAGCCTGTAGCTTTGCAGGGAGTTGTTGTGACCAAAGTGCAGGACCCAGCACTTGGCCTTGTTCAACCTCATACAATTGGCCTCAGCCCATCGATCCCGTCTGTCCAGGTCTGTTCGCAGAGCCTTCCTACCCTCGAGCAAATCAGCACTTCCTCCCAGCTTAGTGTCATCTGCAGACTCACTTGGGAAGCACTCAATCCCCTCATCTAGGTCATTAATAAAGATACTGGTCAAGACTGGACCCAAAACTGAGCCCTGGGGGACACTACCAGTGTAACATCCTCAGCCTTTCCTCTTGTGCGTGACCTTTGGGAAGTCACACAACCTTTACATAACTAAGCTACCTGGACATTTACAGAACACAGTCAGCCCACAAAAGTTTAAAAATCACTTTGTGCGTGAATTTTATTACTCAAAGAATAAACAACTCACGTCCTATTTTAACATTTTTACATCACTGCAATCGATCTGGTCTGCATTTTTAATTTGGTCATTATCATACACTTTATTAACATACATATGTGCTATTCAAGCTCTTAATTTTACAAGATGTTACTAATCCTTCAAAAATAATTTAAATACACTTTTGAACACTACTACTCTTGCAGGTTTAGCCCTCAGAAACTTTATGATGTACTTACAGCCCTGAAACGTGCCCCGAGCACCCCCCGCGCTGCTCCAGGGATTTACCAGCTGAGCTCACAGTCTCAGGCCTCAACACTTAATCCAGTTTCTAATTAAATCTTTTCAGAGGTTTCAGCGGCAAGCGAGCAGCATCTGAGTCATGTTAAACTTTCCATTATTAATACTCACCAAGCTCCCTCCTCCCTACCCTCAGCCCCTCCGCAGGCAGGGCGCACCAGGCAGGCCGGTAACAAGGAGGCT